CCCCAAAACCCCAAAACCCCAAAACCCCAAAACCCCAAATTATAAATAAACATTGAAAGCAAAACTCATCCCATAACTTTCAAAAATAAAATCACAGAACTCCTAAAATACTAGCAAAAATCCACCACATCCCCTCTTCCCCCAAGATTACACTCTATCCAATCCCAAAAACTCCCCTTCCTCCAAATCTCAATCCTTATCCTCTTCCCTATCACTCTCATCCCCCCAAAAACACACTAATCCCTCAAATTTTAAACACTCCACTTAGTCTTACTCTTTGCCTGATCTCCCACCTAAATTCTTCCCAATATTGATCTTCCTGCGAACAAATTTGTTCGGAGAGAAATCAAGAATTCTCTTCTTAAAGTCTCCCTTCGAAGGCTGGATCTGTAACTTCTTGGATGATGTGTGACGAAAGGCATTGATTCTAGAGGGGGAATTAGGAGAGGGCTTACAGTTGTTGATTGGAGGTGTCCCCCTGTTTTTGTAGACCTGAAAAAAGTGAGGTTTGAATGGGATTGAGGTGTTTGAGATGAAGAAAATTATAGCTTTAGATTTATATTAGATTGTTTGACAAGGTTTGTAAGGAGGGTTTTGAGAGGAGTGAACTCTGATTTATTTAGGTGAAATAGCCATCCCTCGATCATTTTTAAGGGATTTAGTAGTAATCTAGATTTACCGCTATGGTTCCGGCTAGCCGGCTTTGGTTTCATTAAAGACTTTTTGTGAGGTACTACAATTTTAACAAGTAAACACTACTTTTAAAACCAGATCTAAATATATTCTGGCTGGTCCTTGTCCCAGCATTCTTTTGAAGCAATGATTCTACTTTTTCCCGAAATTTAAGGCTAACTTGGAATGGGTCTTGCTTCGAGTAACCCTTCGATACACTTTGAGTGTCAATTGCTATAAAAATTGAATCAGAAAGGATCGAAGGTAAAAGAACGCTAGAATTGATCTTGAGAAGACTTTTTCATGCTAGATTTAGACGTGTACCTTTGATAAGCATAGGATGAGATTCCTTCTTCTGTATCTTTACGAAGCTCTTAGTATTTGTGCTAATCTTCAGGTCATGAATCTTAGCCCTTGTTCTATTTTGATTCCTGGTTGAGTTAGACCTTAACAATTTTGAAAGAATCTGCTCACTGATGTATTTAAGATTCTAAAGTTATTAGATATATTACTTTGAAAGGCTTCACTTGTGGTGAATCAATATTAACCTTCTTCAAAGTATCACCTTTACTTTTCATTCTGACTAATGGTATAAGATCTACAGGATGGTAAAAATTTTACTCTTCTTCTTCCTGATGATCTTGGTCCCAATTCGAATAGGGAAATCCTGCTAGACGATGACCTTTTTAAATTACCTGTCTCTCAAAGGAAAAACTTCTGTTCATATCTTTCAGGACTGCCTCCCTATTTTTCTTTAACAAATCATTAGTGCTCGGAAGTCTACATTTGATTTTAGCTATACCTTAAGATTATTTCTTTGCTTGGGGAATCTGAACCATGTTTCTTTCTGGTTACACTATGAAAGGTTACCAAAATAAAGAGAGCTGAGATATTATTGCTACACAAAGTATTTCAGAAAATTTAAGAGCTTTAAAGGCAGATGTACAAAACTTTGAGTATTAGCACAAATAGAAACTTCTTTGAATGTATCTATCGATAACAGTAATAAAAAGAGAAAATGCGTTTAAAAGTTATTAGTTAGCTTAACAGGTTCTTTGATGGAATACATATTTGACATACAATGATGATTCATCAGTCAATCTGCTTCTAAAAACAAGTTAGAAACGATCACTAAACTTCACCCCAATGTCCCCTAGCATAACTTACCCGGCTCTTTTCTTCACAGAATTCTCTCTCCTCCCTCCTGCCACATCAGGGTATAAGTTATATTGGTACATTTTCAATAAATTTTAATAATACTGGGGTTTTGGGGTTTTGGGGTTTTGGGG